TAGTAATATTTGAAACCAATCTAAAAATATATGTATATAATACTACAAGATATTAATACAAATATAGATTTCACATTGATGAAAAAAATATTTAAGCAATCGTTCAATTCAATAAAATTATTCATTATATTAATAAATATTTATAATGTTAAAAAGTTAGTTATCGTTCTATTTTCTATCATTTAATATTTGATAATGAAATTGAATTTCTTATCTTAATTATTTTTATTTATTTAAATTTCGTCTAAAGACTAATTTCATTTTAGTGGCGCTTACGACGCATGTGCACTTTGTACAGCTACATAAGCTGAAATTACTCTCTATTCCTAACCTATTGAAAGTAAACTGTGATTCTCTAGTTGTTTTATAAGTATTAAAATAATACTATATAATGTATTATCAAAATGAAAATGAGCGTTTGAATCACTTATAATAATGGCTGTACCGCCTTCTTTTGGACTTAGTGATATTGTGCATTTGAACGTTGGGGGAACAAGGTACAAACAATAATTTTTAATTGCTTTCAGAAAATATACGATAAACATTTAATTTCTTTTAATTGTTAGTCAATAATTGTCACTGTATAATTTGAAGGCTGATTTTTTTAGATAAGCTATTTTTGTAATTATCTAAAATTGTTTAATATCCAGGTTTTCAACATCAAAGCAGACGCTAACATGGATTCCAGACTCATTTTTTACAGCTTTATTAAGTAACAGAATTGCCAGTCACAGAGATGAGATTGGTGCATTATTTATAGATAGAGATCCAAAACTATTCTCCATTATATTAAATTATCTTCGTACAAAGGATATTGATTTAAAAAATGTAGATCTTCGTACATTGAGACACGAAGCTGAATATTATGGTATTACCCCACTGGTTAAGAGATTAATGCTATGTGAAGATTTAACTCAGTCTTCCTGTGGAGATGTTTTGTTTTATGGTTATTTACCACCACCAAGTAAGATTAATCGATCCTCTGTTAGAAGAAAAAAAAGTATGTAAAATATATTTCATATATCATATTTCGCATTATTAAATATAGGTATACCATTGCAAGAACCTGCTACTGTTGCATCAAATGTAGGTGATGTATCTGTTCATGGTAGAATTCCAACCAATAACGTTAATTCTAGAGTGGATGTACCATCTACTTCTCAAAGTGCAACTCCTGGAACATCTAGTAATCATAGTAACAGTGGTACTAAATAAATACTCATTAATTTAATTCATTTATTAATTGCTGTAAATATTTAATACATATTTGGACATGTTGTAGGACAACAAAATCATAAAGGAGTACTTAGCAGTCATATACGAAATTCTTCATTAGATTATAGAATCCAACAAAAAGGCTTACCACATTCACGTACATCATCTCTAGATTTGAGACATGTTAGAAATAATTCTGCAGACCTAAATAAATTATATAAAAATGATATAAGTTTAGTATTTGGGCCTCAACAAGGTAAACAAATATGATTAGTTTGTTAATTCCAATAAAAGAACTAACAAATGTATTTTTATATAGTTTCATCCTGGGTTGATCCCTTAAGAGTTCAGATCATAAAAGCACATCATAATTGGATCGTAATTGCTTATGCACATTTTATAACATGTTATCGACTTAAAGACTCATCTGGTTGGCAACATGCATTTACTAGTCCTCACATTGAATCAGTAATTGAAAGAGTGGCAATAACATCAAAATTAAGTACTAGCGGAGATGTTAAAATGGTTGCAATTTCTTATGGAAATCAGGTCAGATTATGGAGTATTTCAGCAAATGGGATGAAGACTAATATTGGCACATTTAATTTAAATGTTCGTGTGGAATATTTATTTTTTATTGGAAGTCAATTAGTTGCTCTATCTCCTACTGATAAAATTGGGGTATGGCATGCTATGACACATCATTGGCAAATACAAGATGTAGTACCTATTTTATCATTTGACACAGCTGGTTCATTTCTTCTATTGGGATGCAACAATGGGTCTATTTATTACATTGGTAATATAAATTGTACTTCTAAGATAAAATAAATTTCATAATTATGAATGAATATAAAATTAATTTTCAGACATGGAAAAATTTCCTTTAAGAATGAAGGACAATGACTTACTTGTAACTGAATTATACCGTGATCCAAATTATGATCCTATTACAGCCATATCTGTATATTTAACACCAAAAACATGTAAGTTCGAGTATTCATTTTTCATACCACAATATTATTCTGGTAAATAGTTAAACATAAAAATTCTAGGTAAATAATAATTAATTCATGGTTCATAAAATTGAATATTACAGTATTTGTATTCCAGAAATATCTATTCCAGTGACGTACAAATAAGTGGACTAAAATTTAATTATTAAATCTGCTTGTATTGAGGAATGTAATAACAAACGTCACTTGTATATTTTTTTTACATTTTTTAATTTATGCGATTTTACTATTTATATATATTAATAATTAATTGTAATCATAAATTTCATTATATGTTATAATTTTCTTTTGTTTTAACATATCAATAAGGGTCACATTTGTTCAAATACAAACACTATCTTCTATTGTAAAGTTCAATGCTATATTTCAGTATTAATAAGAGTTTATTATTACATTCTTTGCTTCATGATTTCGTACAACTGGATAAATAGCACAAGGCAAGTATGGGTCAATATGACAATGTTCTACAATATTTTCACATTCAAGTCATAAGTTCAAATTGACATAAATTTCTCTACATTTTATATTACATTGAACATAGCACATTATTTTGAATATTAGTATCCATACCCTTCCTCTCCAGATATAATTTATCAATTTGTATCAAACCAAGGCACAAATCCATATTTGCATATTGCTTCTAACAGCACTTTTAATAAAAAAATTTTAAGCATATATTTACATACACATAAAAAATGGGCTTACTTATATCACTATTAATTAAACAAAAAACAATGTATACTTAAAAAACTAGGGTTAAAAATACATTTAAAACCCCAATTATTTTCGTCTTAGACTGCACACCCCGCTATCCTTATGCATCCAGTTGTACTTATAACACTTTCATCATTTTCTTATTTCATGTTAAGAGTATGGTAACGTATTTATGACGACATCTGAGAGGGGAAGGGAAGAAAATAGACAACATGTGCCTCTGCTTGCATAATTATTCTTCGTTTTAAACAATACCAAATGCATATCAATCACATTATTTTGTTTGTAGCCTATATTGTAAATATATATATATATATACATACATACATACATACATATATCATTTCTTCCAGTATATATGCATAAAGTTTTATTAAAATATAAATAATATACATCTTTTCCTACCTAAAAAATGTTTTAAATGTCTATCAATATTTATTCTTTCTTAAACATTATAACGCATGTAATATGTACGTAGGTTATTTATTAACAATACACATCATAACATGTATTATAAATACATATTTTCTTTCGTTATTACAATTTTTAATACATGTCGGTATCATGTTATTTATATTTAATATTAAGACATGTAGTTACATTAAAAGATTTAAATAATTTAAAAAGAAACGGTATGTTATAATTTTATAATTTTTTTATACAGCTGTCTGTGGTAATTGGATTGAAATTGCATATGGTACGAAATCTGGCAGTGTTCGAGTTATAGTCCAACATCCTGAAACTGTAGGACATGGCCCACAATTGTTTCAAACATTTACTGTACATCAAAGTAGTGTAACAAAAGTATGTTTGTATCACATTTATTTCTGTTAAAATAAATTTACAAATTGCTTACATATGTAATAAATAAATTATATTACAGGTAACATTGTCAGAAAAGTATTTAGTATCCGTATGTTCTGAATACAATCATGTTAGAAGTTGGGCAGTAACGAGATTTCGTGGAATGATTTCTACTCAACCCGGATCAACACCTGAAGCTAGCTTTAAAATTGTATCGTTAGAAGCAATCGAATCTTGCATTAGTTACAATGCTGGAAATGATTTTGGTGTGTTATTATATGAAAAATTATTATGAGTTATTATAAATTAACAAACAAAAGTTAATTGTCATACTTCAAAACATAGGACCATTTGGTGAACAAGATGATGAACAAGTCTTTGTTCAAAAAGTTGTACCTGAGACTGATCAATTATTCGTACGCTTAGCGTCAAATGGAAAAAGAGTTTGTGTAATCAAATCAGTGGATGGTAGCATTATAAGCTCCTTTTACGTACATGAGTGCGAAGGATCTAGCCGTATGGGTTCAAGACCCAGGCGCTTTATATTCACTGGTCATTCTAATGGTACCATTCAGATGTGGGACCTCACAACAGCTTTAGAACCATCTTTCTCCTCCACTCAAAGTAACATGATTACCTTTAACTTCTCTAGTGAATTTAATAACGTCAATTGTAACATTAACATCAAAACGTGTTGATTATAGATGTCTCTGGTGGACCTACACCAGAAGAACTTTGGAAATTATTAGATCAATGTGATTTAAGTAACAGTCATTCCTCGACACCATGTATTAGTCCGTGTCCTTCACTTATATCTACAGGCCCAAGTATAAAAACTAGCAATGTATTATTTCTTAATCAATCACAAAATACTGATGCAACACCTGGGCCTGCGAGTCAGGTATGAAGGTAATACCAAAAAGATGCATTTTGTAGAAATTTCAAAAACTAATTTTTTACACTTAAAAATGATTTATTTATTTCAAGCTATTACTTATTAATAGAAATTGCAGTTACAGTTCCTAATAACAATTTTTTTAACGTTTTTAATTTAAATAAAAATAGAAATAAAAATAGCCTTGTTTGTAAGGAATACAATATGTAAATCTTTATAAGAATTGTAAGGATAAAATATTTGTAAATAAGTATATTAATTGAAATAAGAAACAATATGCATTCTCTTTGCATCACTTGAAATTTTACGTTACATATTGCTTTTTTTTATTTAACAATTCAAATTTTGTTCTGTTCGAAAAACTTATGAACAATAACTTGTGATTAAAATGTATACATCAAAGGAGATAGAAAATATAGATACAAGATCAAATACAGATTTTATATGAAACATACAATGATGTTCTAAAATGATCTTTCTTGGATAAAAGGATATAATCTCAATATTTAAACTTTTATATATTTCCTTATATTTCTTTGCTATATAAATAGTTGTACACATTTATGGCAAATGTTGTAATACTGTTATCTGTTATTTCTGTGATTTAAATAAACAGTAAATGTATGTATTGTTAGTTCTTACATGAATGTAAATATGTTTCTGTATATATAAGTAGAAAATACTTAAGTAAATTCAAAATAAAAAACTTTTTTATACTTGTACGATATATCACAAAACATTTCCAAAAAGATATATTTTTATGGAAACAACATCTTTTTATCAATTCAAAATAACACACTATTTATTGTAACAATGTCATATTTTTTAAACTATACAATATTTTATTAACATCTTTATTTCAAGAACTTTGCCTAAAGTTTTATTGGCATTCATAAGTATAACTATGTAAATTGAATTAAATTTGAGGCACTACGGTGATTTTATATTAGTTCTATATTGCATGATTAACTCGCCTATGGTAACTTGTTTGTATAATAATAATTATACAAAACCTGATCAGAAATTAAAACTAAAACATATTGCGCGAATTAGCTTCTAACTTACAGAAGTACATCTGTGTTTGATAAAATTGTACCTATGACGTAACCTGCTAAACAGTCTCGTTATCTTGTATGAAATATAATTTGTTAAGTAACAAACACTTCTTAAAAAATATCATGCAATATAAATTCTTAAAATGATATCAGTTCAAGTTAGACTAGTTTTTTTTTTATAAAAGATTTACATAACATTAGTGACATTGTTGCAAATAAATCACACTCATATAAAATTTTTATGCCAAAATAAATTATTATAAAATAACCTTGGATTTGTCATTGGTGTCAATAAAAAACACCAAGCTACTAATCCAATTACAAACAAAGAAAACAGTCCAGCCCTTTTTAATGGATCTTTAACTGCAACAACTTCAGAAAAATCAGGACATCCCATGTGATTACAAAAAGAATGTGCCGTAAATGGCGCTGCTAAATGTCCTATAAAAAGTTTATTGCTTTGAAGTGAAAAGACATGTAAAATTAAATTAAAAAATTAACCAAAATTATACTATACCTGTTTTAGCAAAAAGAAAAGCAGCATATGCTCCAAATAATGTTGTGAATACGAATTGAAAACCTATACCAAAAAAGTATCAAAAAGATTTATATACTTATAAACTTGGAATGAATTAAAGTTAAAAAAAAATACTTACAAGATATAAAAAGGGCATGCTTAAGATTCATGCCTGCTCTTACTCTATCTACTACAAGATGAAAATGAGCAACACCAAAAAATAAAGGACATATAAATATGGCAGTAGTTGGTGTAAAACATTGCAAAAGCAATGGTAACATACATGCTCTAAATGTCCATTCTTCAGCTAAAGGAGCAACTACTAAATTTCTCCACCATATTATCGTTCGTACACTTCCAAGCCAATACATAGGCTCTAAAAAGATTAAATTATATGCTTATAAAATAATCTCTCATTGAATTGCTTGATTTAAATATTCAGACATTTATACATATAATCAATTTAAAATACTAACCGGTATATAATCTCCAAAGTCCATTAAAACCTTGTACACATATTGGCCCTAGAAATAATATCATTGTTAGTAACAATGGTATCACAATTGCTTGAAGTAAACCAGGCCATCGTAGACCCAATAACTCCCAAATTGTTGCCTGAAAGTAATTATCGCAATATGGAATTCACTGTGTAATTAATTACCATTAATCAAGTAACATTGTAATTAATTAATTACCTTTTGAAATACTTTCTCATTTATTCCAAAATACAATAAAGCAGGAGATATAAGAGACATAATGAAAACGCTAAAAAACCTTTTTTTTATTACAGTAGGATGTTCCCTGCAACAAGAAAAAATTTTACTGATATTTAATTGATCTCGCACTTTTTCTTAAAGTATTGTTATTTTTTTTTTTTTTTTTTTTGCTAAGCTCGAGTAAAAATATAATAACGATTGGTAAACGATTTAAATAATTATCAACACGGACGATTCGAAATGACGCGCCAATTGCAGGAGAAATCGAAGGAAAAAGTTGGCCAACAGAGGCGCTGTGAATTCGATTCTCGTCGAGAAAAGCGGCTGCGTGAATGGGAGAATCAAAGCGTAGACATATTCATGTTCCCAGCCGACGTGAATACAGTTACACTTTGTTCGTGGTTTCCTGTGGTTCACTGTTAAAGGACCGATAGAGAGAGCATAGCACGGTTCGACAAAATGGACATTTAAAGATTGACGTTTATCCGGCTGTTAATAGTCATACGTACCTACTGTACGGTGAATTCCATACATAGAGGCTCGCGACGTACATCACCGACAGAACGAAACATGATAGGATTGCGGTTATGCAGGATAAATCAGTATTTCGGCCCGTGGTATCCATAACTCTATACTGATGTTGGTTGCTTGTGTCACGATCCATTGCAGAAGAGGGAATCGGTAAGGGGTAGAAGGCAAGAGAGAAGGATCGCTTTGGTAGGAGGGAGGTCGGCGGGGGAGAGAGGGGAAGAGCAGAAATTCATCCGATTGGCGGTCTGGCACCAGTCGGCAGCTCTACCGTCAAAGAGAAGATGGCCGCTGGGCTCGGTGGAAGTGTCGCCATTGTTTAGTGTTTAGTTGTTTTACCGTTTCTCGCATAATTTTACGGGAAGCACGATAAAAATGCCAAGTGCGTCGTTCACATCGTCGCGCAACTACGTGCGAAGATCCCGAAGGAAAGGTGCAAACAGAATTCCTCTGCCTTCGAGAACCACCTCGGGTAAGGAGAACCCCTGCATCCGGAGGCTCGGTTCATTGCTCACCTGTCTCGGCAAGACACATCTCTGACTTCACCTACTTCGATACACATTGGCCAACTGTCCGAACGATACCGCGTGCTATCAGTTCAAAATTCAGTGCTTCCTATCGAATTGTATCCCCAGTTTTGACGATCGAGGATCTCCGTCAAACCCACTGCCCACACGTCTTCGAACACGATTTCCTCAGACGGGATGGTCGAGAAACGCAGAGCCCGATATGCCTCGGTGACGTTTCCGAAAATCAACATACGTTCGCCCGTTTTATCACTACCCTTTCCTTTTTTTTCCCCCCTCCCCTAACATCGATCATGATATCGCATACTTCGCTTTCGTCAATTTTTACTCTGGAATGTCGGCTCAAAGTCTATTCCTCTCACCCCACCCCCCTTTTTTTTGTAATTCTCATTTATTAGACGTTCAGCTGTACGAAACCCGCTGGCCGATGCTCTCGCGATTTCGATAATCTCTCTTTGACATCAAACTGTGGAGTCAAGCATCTCTCAATCTGATATTGCACTAACCATAGATTTTCTATTAAATTAGTATAATGCTCCACTTTCCCAAACCGCGTTGTGTACTCTTCGTACATCATTGGAAATGTTGCAGTTGCCTTTTAAACGTGATAATGACACTTCTGTCCTAGAGTAAGGTTGAATAATTAATCGTGTATATATAATGGAAATATGCCCCAATATTTATAACGTTCTTTTGCAAACTGTGTTCTTCATTTTTGTCATTTTGTAATAATAACAATTAATAACGGCGTTATAATAGAAATTTATAATGGACAAATAAATAGGTACAAAGAGTATGTGTGTATGTCAAGACATATTTACGTTAATTTTGATCAAAATAAATATACTTCTATGAAACAGGATATTTAATGAATTACAATTATCGGTACAAGACAGTGGATATTCTTTTTTTAAATTAATTATGAATTTAATAAATTTTTATATACGTAATAAATTATTACGTATATAATGTAATTATATTTAATTAAGACATTAAATATAATATATATAATATTATAATTAAATACAACAATATTACTAGCTAATGAAATTGTTGCGTTTCAGCCGAGCCATGCGATTTGCCATGTTCAGCATCAAATCAGATACCTCCTGGTGGAGGAGTTGGTGGAGGAGGAGGAGGAGGAGGTGGTGGTGGAGCTGGGGGTGGAAGTGGTGGAAGAGGATCATCACCCAGCGTTTCTGGAGTTGCAGCACCTTCACCTTCCCCGTCGCATTCTCACTCATCTCCATATGACTTAAGGCGTAAAAGTCCACCTCATCCGGACCCTGCTCCTGGTACTAGCTCTGCATTACCTCCTTCAGGTGGCAGTAGTATAGGAGCTACTCTTGGTTCTTCCGCTTTGCCTGCAAGAAAACGACCTAGACGAACTTGTTCATTATCCACAGATGGTAGTAACAATTAAATGTTATTTTGTATTACTTTGACGAGAACAAATCTTTCAATATCCTTTCTCGTTTTGCAGGTACAAACACAAATACAGCGGCACATTACCTTCAGTATGAGTTACCAGATGAAGTGCTGCTTACTATATTTAATTATCTAATGGAACAGGATTTATGTAGAGTTTCCCAAGTTTGCAAACGTTTTCAGACTATCGCGAACGATACGGAGCTGTGGAAATCTCTGTATCAGCAAGTCTATGAGTATGACCTACCATTATTTAATCCTGCACCTTGTAAATTTGAATTTGTATCCCCGGATGAGTCAGATTATCCGAATCCATGGAAAGAAAGCTTTAGACAATTATACAGAGGAGTGCATGTCAGGCCAGGATTTCAGGATTTGAAGTTTAAAGGTCGAAATTTGCCATACTTTAATACAGTTCAGGGAGCATTAGATTATGTAGACGAATATAGAAGCAATAGCAGCCCTTCATCAAATAGCACGACTACAAGTGGTCAAGGAAACTGTTGTGGGAACAATTCCCAGACAGCGGAAGAAGCACCTCAACATTTAGTTTTCTTACATGCTGGAATATACAGAGGCGAATTTCTTGTAATTGACAGCGACGTTGCATTAATCGGAGCAGCACCTGGAAACGTGGCAGAATCTGTTATATTAGAACGAGAAAGTGAATCTACAGTTATGTTTGTAGAAGGAGCGAAACGAGCTTATGCTGGTCATCTCACGTTAAAATTTACCCCGGACGTTACTAGCACAGTGCCGCATCACAAACATTATTGTTTAGAAGTTGGCGAAAACTGCAGTCCCACGGTTGATCACTGTATCATCAGAAGTTCGAGTGTTGGTAAGTAATATTGTCCCCGTTATGAAATAACTTGTTCATTGATTTTTAGATTTGTGGATTTTTAAATTTATTGTTGATTTTCGATCGTTTCAGTTGGCGCAGCTGTTTGCGTATCGGGCGTAGGAGCAAATCCTGTGGTGAAAAATTGTGACATATCAGATTGTGAAAACGTTGGGCTCTATGTCACCGATTATGCACAAGGAACTTACGAAGACAATGAGATTTCCAGAAACGCGTTAGCAGGAATTTGGGTGAAGAACTATGCAAATCCAATCATGCGAAGAAATCATATTCATCATGGTCGAGATGTTGGGATTTTTACGTTTGATAATGGCCTCGGATATTTCGAGGCCAACGATATTCATAATAATCGAATAGCGGGCTTCGAGGTAAAAGCTGGTGCTAATCCAACTGTTGTCCATTGTGAAATACATCATGGCCAAACAGGCGGAATTTATGTCCATGAAAATGGTTTGGGACAATTCATCGATAACAAAATTCACTCGAATAATTTCGCCGGTGTTTGGATTACCTCCAATTCAAATCCCACTATTCGTAGAAATGAAATTTATAATGGACATCAAGGAGGGGTATATATATTTGGAGAGGGGAGAGGCTTAATTGAACACAATAATATTTATGGTAACGCCTTAGCTGGTATACAGATCAGAACAAATTCGGATCCTATTGTTAGACATAATAAAATACATCATGGTCAACATGGTGGTATATACGTGCACGAAAAGGGACAAGGTTTAATTGAAGAGAACGAAGTATATGCAAATACACTAGCAGGTGTTTGGATAACAACAGGATCAACGCCGGTATTAAGAAGAAATCGTATTCATAGTGGAAAACAAGTTGGAGTTTATTTTTACGATAATGGACATGGGAAACTAGAAGACAATGATATTTTCAATCATTTGTATTCAGGAGTACAAATAAGGTAATCATTTTTTTTTTTTTTTTTTGGTCATTTTCCTTTCTTTTCTTTTTTTCAATTTTGCGAATTAATTATCTTTGCAATACCAGGACTGGAAGTAATCCAGTAATACGAGGGAATAAAATATGGGGTGGACAAAACGGTGGCGTTCTTGTGTATAATAGCGGATTAGGCTTACTCGAACAAAATGAAATTTTTGACAATGCAATGGCAGGAGTTTGGATTAAAACCGATAGTAATCCTACGTTAAAAAGAAACAAAATATTCGACGGGCGAGATGGTGGAATTTGTATATTTAACGGCGGCAAAGGTAAAAAGTTTTATTTTTTATTTGTAATTTTAGTAAAGTTCCGTAAATGAAACAGTCTTGTGATGCAGGTATTCTCGAGGAGAATGATATATTTCGTAACGCTCAAGCAGGTGTGCTTATTTCTACACAGTCACATCCTGTCTTGAGGAGAAACCGAATTTTTGATGGATTAGCAGCTGGCGTTGAAATAACAAACAATGCCACAGCTACGTTGGAATTTAATCAAATTTTCAACAACAGATTCGGTGGTCTATGTTTAGCAAGTGGAGTACAACCAACAACTAGAGGTTAATATATTTCTCTTCGCATTTACAATGTTAGATACACACGAGAAGAACTGATAGTTCACTGTCACTTTTTTTTTTTTTTCAGGCAATAAAATATTTAATAATCAAGACGCGGTTGAAAAAGCAGTCGGGAACGGTCAATGTTTGTACAAAATTTCGTCATACACATCGTTCCCTATGCACGATTTCTATCGTTGCCAAACATGCAATACAACAGATCGCAATGCAATTTGCGTGAACTGCATAAAAACCTGTCATGCTGGACACGATGTAGAATTTATTAGACACGATCGGTAAATATCATTGTTAATATTGATATTAACCAAAAGAAATTTATAATATACTATACTAAATATGTTATTGCAAAGCGGCAAATGATAATTGATGTATATTTTCAGATTCTTTTGTGACTGCGGTGCTGGAACATTGAGTAATCAGTGTCAACTTCAAGGTGAACCTACTCAAGATACAGACACATTATATGATAGTGCAGCACCAATGGAGTCACATACACTTATGGTCAACTAGGAATTAACGTAAACTAAATAAAAGAATCAGTCGACACTGAATCTGTAAGTCCAACATATTGCAAAGAAGTAATTTGTTGCAGAGTTCTTTATTATGACACGTGTTCCTTTGTGTCCCTCGTTGTGATTGTTATTTTGTAAAGCTACCGTTATTGTTAACATGTATTACAATTAATAATTTCATCGTCGTTGTCGTTAGTCAATTCATTTTCATCAACATCGCGGTGAATAAAATTATCACGTCATTATTTCATTATTTTGTAAGATTAACCGTGCGAATCACTCGAGACTAAAAGCTGAAATATTTTCGATACGATTAATTATATAAAAAAAAAAAAAAAAAAATGATTTAGACGAAAAGTTGAATAGTTTCGAAATGAGTATTAAACATAAAGAAAAAAACAAGCTGAATCTTTAAATGCCTTTCATGCTAAAAAATGATAATTATATGAGTTAATGATCCTCTCGAAATCGTTAAATCATTTTTTGCCCGAAAAATGTCTTAATATGATTAATCATTTTAAAAATATTTCAGCCTCTAGTCTTGGGCGATTTACCCGTTACTCGTGTAAAATAAAAATAAATTCTAGAACAGTGCTATCATCATCGTTTTCATCTTCATCGTCGTTGTTATTATCATTATCATTGTCATCGTCATCGTCATCGTCATCGTCATCGTCATCGTCATTATTATCGAGGGATAGTATATTTTTTATTAGAAAAAAAAAAAGAACTCGTACTCTCTGTTCCAATGTATATCTTACTATAAACAGATATATGTCAGTAAATATATTCGTGCTTGAACAGAGATAAAGGAACAATTTTCATTTGATATAACACAAGTTTCATTGAAAGCGACGACAATTTCGATCAGATCGTTTTCTCTATTGCTTTTTTCATTAATCCTTCTTGAAAGCGATTTTAAAAGATCAAGATTCTGTTTCTTACTGATCAATGTAATAAAGAACTCCGCAACGATAAGAGGGAAAAAGAAATGTCGATGATCAAGAAATATAAGTGACAATGGATTTCTTACGTAAGCAAATTATTAATTAGATAACACCCAATTAATTTAAACGTGTAATAAAGTACTGCGGTTGAACGTTAATTGACCGGAGACCTGCCACAAACTTTTCATGTGACTCTTCTCATCATAAATCACCATAATTCTTGACTTCGCGTGCAAAGCAAGACACAAGTGCAGTGAACCTGTGAAAAGTTAAGTTTTAAAAAAAAGAAAAAGGAAAAGGGAAAAAAAAGAACGCGTATAAGGACACGTGACAGTCGTGACGGTATCTCAAGAAGAAAACTGTTTAAAAACAATGAAGAAATTCGTGGGATGCAACATAGGCATTGACAAGGAGAAACAGTTCTCTAAGCTTCACGGTAAAACACAGTGCCGCGTATGTAAATTGTGTATAATCGTATCGTTAATAAACGCGAACGGGCAGTAACATTAAACAAAATGACATTAAACGAATGTTACTCAAGAAGAGAAATCTATTAACATCATGTAAAATTGTGAGGAGGACACGTTACAAAGATTTATACTCAGAAATGAATACACTAACTTAATACACTAGTGCATTGAAACAGAGAGAAACATGAGGAAGTGAATTATTGTGTATTCATACCAATGGAATTGTAGGTAATCAAGATAGCTCGAAGATTAAAAATTGAAAGAATAAATTGGCAACACTCGCGATAATACAAAAAAAGAGAGAGAGAGAGAGAGAGAAAGAAGGAAAAAATAAACGACGAAACCATGTGTTGCTTTGATAAATCTGTTGTACAAATTTCCGAAGCGGATGGGGTTAAGGAAAAAAACGAAGATCGACGAATGACATACTGAAACGGATGTCTAAAAAATGTGATATGTAAAATTCACAACTGGAATAATCAAAATGGAAACTGAAACATCTATACAATTCTAAGAATCATTTTTTGCAATGTAAGTGTACCTCATAATACACATATATAGTTCTACAATTCGTAGAATAGTGAATATTCCGTATTGTGAATAAGTGCTGGCTCTAAATTGCCCGATGGGGGGGAAGTGCATAATAAAACGTAATAAAGAGTATAAAATATTGAAAAAAAAAAAGAACAAAGGCAAATTTAAAACAAATTTACGTGAAGTAACTTTTTGGTGTGTACCAGTGAGAGGAAAGGAAGGAAACGAGGAGTTTCAAAGAAAGTCAAAAAAAAAAAAAAACAACAACACACGATATACTGTCAAACGAACAGTTCAAAAAGGAAATAATCTCCAATTTTTAAAAGTAATCAGATTTTTTTAATATTATGTTAGCGATAAACTCTAATTATATTATTCTAATTATAATGAACAAAAGCGCCTATTAGCGATAATTTTAGACGCAACATCCATTTACGCAAACGATGAATTACAAGCTAAGTAAATCACGCACTCGAAAATCATCGCGAATAAGAAAGGACATTTTGTTTGCAACAAAATTTTATGAGTGAGTCACATATAGTATGTACTTTTGTATATCATTCGGTAGAAAAAATGGGTAATGGTGACATGAGAATTGCCTTTGAACTTACTAACCTAAGGTCTGTAGTATTATACACCACCAGTGTCATATTATACATAGTATAACTACATATAACACGTTATGTGCACTGAAAATATTAAGGACGTATGTCAAAGGCATTTTTCATATGTGCACATTAGATTGTAAACTATGCGGTTTTTTCTTTTTTTTTTTTTTTTTTTTTTTTT